TCTTTGAGTACGCGGCCTTTGAGGACCGTTAAGGCTGCGTACTTTAAGACTGCAGACCCTGAATTGGGAAACAGTCCCTGAATTGGGATACAGCCATACATACATGTTTTGGTTCGTGCATCTGGTCCGTCCGGTTATTGTCTCCCCAGAAACATTTCCGTTGTCTTTTTTCCTATTTCCGTTGTGTGTGTGTTGTGTGTGCTTTTGCAGCATTTTTCTTTTTGCAGCATTTTTCTTTTTGCAGCGTTTTTCTTTTTGCAGCATTTTTCTTTTTGCAAGTGTTTTCTGAAGTTGCAGTCCGTTTGGCCTCTCAGGGCCACCGTAAAAGCATTATATAAGAACCAGTCCATTTATCAAAAGGAACAACAAAGTTATCACAGATATGTTTATCCAAAGAAAGGTACACCTAATGGCACCATAATTTGCATATTGAACCATACATAAGGATGTAGGTGTGAAAATATAGATGGTGTGACTGCGGTTCATGTACTCAGCAGAGGAATTTGTTCGAGAAATAAATAATGATAAATTCATCACAATGTGTATTTCTTAAAACGATGATTTCTTTAAGCTTATCTAAATTTAAGTGCAGAAAAACATTATTTATTGTAATGTGATTATATGGAAAAAATGTCATTAAGCAAAGAACAACTGTCTCAGTAAAAATGTGTACATCCAAAGGAACCAGAACAAGAAATGCAAATTTCTCAAACAAAAGAGAACAAGAGAAATCATAAAACATAAAACACACGTTTTTTAAGCCCCTTGTGCCTACTTAGTTTTAAAAAACAAACAAACAAACAAAAAGGTGCTAAAACAGAAAATTGTAGAAAGCAAACGTTTTAAATTGTGCCCTGATATAATGGGATATTAGGGGTGATTCTAATCATGGTATAAGGAAACAGCAAAGACATGCAGTTTATTTAGTTATTTTAGTTTGAAGGACATAAATTCTAAATTTGTCTCAAAATAACTTCAATTAGAATGAAAACTAGAAAGTGATCATGATAACCTACTAAAATGATAATGTGGATGTTTATACAATTATAGTCAGACTGGTAGCTAACAAAGTTCATTCCTGTGTTTCAGACAGCATTTCATTGATGAGTCATGAAGGAAAAGCAGTGACAAAATGAAAAAAAAAGAAAGACAAAGACGTATCTTTCAAAGTCAGGCTGAAGTGTCACTGAATTAAGAAATACAGACACTGATGTAATTATGGGCTGTCCTGCAAAAAATAATTAGCAACTAATAATTGATACATTCAAGTTATGATTTTAGTGTAATCATTTTCACATGTTGATGAACCTTCACTGTGATAAATCACATAAACTGCAAACAGCTGTGATTATTTGTTGACTAATATTAAAAAGAAATTCTTGAACTGACTGAACCTTTGTTCTGTGAATTGACTTTATTCAGAAGTTTCTCTATCGGGTCACTTAATTCTTTTTCATGTGTTTCCTGCAGAGTTTTCTTTTCCTTTTCATCTTTTACATTCTTCATTTCCTTTTCCTGCTTTTCCAGTAATTTAATAATTTTTTCTCAGATTGTCACTTCTTTTGGAGATTATTTTTCACAACATCACTGATTTCTTCTTGGTGCTGTTTCTGTAGCTTTTCATTTTCTTGGTGCTTTTTCTTTAGTTGTTCTTCACTGAGAGCTTTCATTGCCTTCACATCAGGATACACCATTTGTCTTTCATTTCTTTCTCATGCTTTTGTTTCAGAGCTGAAATTTCCTTTCTGTGTTGTTCAGCTTCTCTTCTGGCCTGATCGTTATACTTCTGCTTCAGATCCTCCACTTCTCTTTTATAGTTTTCCTCCCGTGCTTTTTGTTCTTTCTCCTCCTTTTCTCTCCTGCTCTCATATTCTTTTCTTTTGTTTTCATAACTTTCTTTTTCCTGTTTGTACTTTTCTTCAAGTTTTTTCATTCTTTCTTCCTCCTTCTGTTGTCTCTGTTTATCTTCTTGTTCTCGCTTCTCTCTTTCTTCTCTTCGTTCTTTCTCCCAGGCTTCTTGTTTTCTCTTCATCTCTTCTCTGCTTTCGTCCAGCTTTTTGTCAATCCTTTCCTTTTCCTCTTTTTCTGTCTGAATTTGTTTGTCCGATCTTTCAAGTTGCATTTTAAAATCCTGCCTACGTCTTTCTTCCTCCTCTTCCCGTTTCCTGTTCTTTTTTTCTCTTACTTCCTGTTCTTTCTTTCTCTCTTCACACTCCTTTTTCATATTATCCTCCATCTCTTTGATTTTCAGCTCTGCTTCCTGCTGTATTTTTTCTTTCTGTTCTTTCAGTCGTTTTTCCTCCTCCTGTCGTCTCTGTTTTTCCTCTTGTTCTCGTTTCTCTCTTTGTTCTCTTTGTTCTTTCTCCCACTGCTCCTGTTTCCTTCTTATCTCTCTGCTCACTTCCAGCTTTCTCTCCACATTTTTCTTTTCCTCTTTTTCTGACTGAATTTGTTTGTCCAACATTTCAAGCTGCTTTATAAAATCCTGCCTTCGTCTTTCTTCCTCCTCTTCCCGTTTCCTGTTCTCTCTTTTTCTCATTTCCTGTTCTTTCTTTCTCTCCTCACGCTCCTTATTCATATTATCCTCCATTTCCTTCAGTTTCTGGTCTCTTTCCCGCTGAAGTTTTTCCTTCTCTTCTTCCATTCTTGTTTTGATGGCTTCCTTTTCTTCCTCATGTTTTCTTTCTAGCTCCTCTCTTTTTCTCTTCATCTCTTCTTCCTTCTCCTTCAGGATTCTCTCCATTTCCTTCTTTATTGCTGCTTCAGCCTTTTGCAGCATCTCATTGGTGAAGCAGTTTCCTCCATTTTCCTTCACCATGGTGTCAATCTTTGTTATCAGCTCACTGACTTGTTGGCGGTTTTTTTTATCACAGTTATTGAACACATGGTATCTTCCTCCACAGTCAGAGATCAGCTTCTTAAAGGAATCATCACATTTGGTTTTTATGTAATCTTCTATGGACACATCATCGTTCTCTAGTTTATCTCCTCCAGTTAAAAGAATGATGGTGAACTTTTCAGAGTTTTTTCCAAACCCATCCTGGATTAAATTGAGTGTTTTCTTCTCCTCTTCTGTGAATCTGCCGATCTGTATCACCAGCAGGAAGACATGTGGTCCTGGAGCCAGAAGACTGACACATTTCACCATCTCATCTTGAACCTGTTCATTTGTTAAACTGTTGTCAAAGAGACCAGGAGTGTCGATCACAACAACAGGGCGACCATCCACTTCACCATATTCTTTCTGACAACATTTGGTGACTGATGTTTGACTCGGTTCAGCTTTATATTGCTTTTTTCCTAGAATGGTATTTCCTGATGAGCTTTTTCCATTTCCAGTCTTCCCAATCAGCACAATCCTGAGAGGCTCTGAGTCCTGCTTCACTTCATCACCTGTAACATTTTACAAAGGTTTATTTTCTTTCAACAACTGCTTTTACATTTATTATGATGGTGTAAAGAGGAAAAATTGTAAAACAAACAAACAAACAAAACAAACGTATTTTTAAAAAGATTTTTGGACACGATGTAAAACAGAGAGAATAAATATTTCAAGTACTTACATGTGTCATGTTTCTTGTTTTTCAGTTTTTCAAGTTCAGCCTGTTGCTGAGTGATAGTTCTTTCTTGTTGTACAATCTTTTCTATCTGAGCACGTGCAAATGTTACAGTTGTATAACTACCTGGTTTGTCCTTGCCCAGTCTCATTCTTTCCACAGTATCTAACAGCTGTGGGATCTCCTGTTTGTCTTTGACATTGAGATCAACTGATCTTCCTCCAAATCTCTCACAGAGCTCCTGGATGTTCTTGTTCCGCTTTATAAAGTTAATAACAGCTGGATCTGTAGGATCTGAGTCCACAGTGAACAGAATCGTGGTGAAGTCATTGACTCGAGAGCTGAATGTGTTCTGGAAGGTCTCTAACTCTCCCTTGTCTTCATCGGTGAGGGGAGCCACAGGTAGGACCAGGATGAAGGCATGGACACCCTCAGGATCACAGAGGGAGATACACCTGAGTGATTCCTCCATCACTGCCTCCTGAG